AATTCAATAGTGGAAGCATTTTGTTTAAATAATAAAAGGAATTTCTTTACTTTTAAATTAACTCAACTAGGTTATTTATTCCGGGGCCGTGACGCGATGCACTGTTCCAAAAAGTTCGACCTAAATGTTTACATTTGCGGTCAGAGCGAGTAAATGATACAGCGCTGCAAATTACTTATCGATGTGACTGCTGAAGTACATTAATTGGGCCGTACACATATCATACGGTACGTAATGACATATCAATGGTCCCTATATTACTTATGCGCTTCTTGGTTTACGAAAGTATATGTTGAGGCCACCAACGCCACAACTTACACCCTAACCCAGCGGTTTATTTACCCTTTGATGTGGTACTGGCACTACACTCTTTGCTATTCCACATTCATGGATCCATTCTTGAATATTTTCACTAATCTACTCAGGATAAGTCCATCTTGAACCAGTCATCCCGACTGGACTGGCGAGTAATTTCTGGAATAGTAATATAGTCATTTTCAACTAAAAAAATATATTTATATGTAACAAATTTATTTTTAGTTGACTTAACACGTTCAACGCTACTGATACGCCTAGAGTTCACTTTAGTTTGTGCAACTAAAGAGCACTGTAGGTGTTTCCTTTTATTAGGCACTTATTGTTTGCCAATAAATTATTACTAATTGTTACACAATTAATCTTGGTAAAGTATTGGTGTAATAAATTCCTTGCTGCAGTAATTAACACTATAATCTAGATAAACGCTTAACATTGAGATTTTTAAACGGAGGTTTGTTGGTATTAATTGGGAGATAAGGAAAACTTTATTAAAGTTGTTTACTCCGCATAATATTATCGTGCGAATGATTGGTTTTCAACACGATACTGTGAGATAATTGAAAGCTGATTTGTCTTTTTGGTTCTTCCTGTGGACATGTTCCCACTGTAAATCTGTCATGACTTTGTCATTTTTTCCCCCAAATATCCATAGGATAAGATGGTTCCTTTGTCTTCTGAATCCAATGGTTTTATTTCATACCATTCTTCGTTTTTCTGTTCGAAATCCGTTTCTTAGTTGTATCACGTTCATAGTTTCCATAGTTATCTAATTAGGGTAATCATTTCTAACCTTGCATTAGAATTTCCAACGATGTGTCATTATCAACGTCTCCGCTGTTAAGATTTTCAAGGTTTTTTTTTCAAACTATTTGATTTGATTTAGACGTGTAAACAGGTTTGTCGATAAGTACTGGCTTCAAATATCTTCTTGCACCAATTACTTATCGAGTTCTATAACAACTCTAAATAATTTATGTCTCGATCCAACACTCTTCACCATTAGAGTTGGCTTGTTTTGTCCAAGACGTCATTATGCCAGGAACCTTAAATCTGCTCTTTGGTACAGTCAGCGTCATATAGATCGTAACAGACAAGATATGCAAATATATAGGTACACCAAAAGTAATCAATTATATCGGTACAACAAAAGTCCTCAAATTGATAGATACATTCACCCTGCTCAAATACATCGGTACATACATAGCGTCAAATATATGAGTACATGCAAGGTGCCCATAAATATCGTAGCAGCCACAGCGTCATAAGTAACGAAGCAGTCAAGATGCGCAAAAAGATCGTAACAGTAAAAATTTGGTAATGTAAAATTTTGCTCGACAATTTTTTTTATAATTTTCGCTGTCGGGTAGAAATAAATTTAAATAAAGTTAACATCAATTAGGTCAGACGATCGGGGGTGAAGTGAGTGGGCGGAGCGTGGATTGTCTTTGCGGGTTTTAAGAATCAGTATCAGTATCAGTAAAAGGTAACGTGATATTGTTACCGGTACAAGTTTAACAAATATGAGTAATAAACAAAATTACATGCCAATAGCATCGCTTTATCTCCTTCATTTTTGTTTGAAATAGAAAAGTACTTTAACGGTCAAACTCATTAGGCCAAGGCAATATCAAAAAGTACCTAATAACTACGGCGATAGAGTTTAATTATTATACATGTGCGATAATATCGATATAAAATTTAAAAAGCTTAAATATTAAAAAAAAATAGTGGCTTGGGATTTGAACCGCCGACCTTACGTACAAACGGTGGCGAACGGTAAGGCCACGAGCCCAAAAAATAAAATTTGATGTTGAATTTATCTACGTAATATCTGTCATCCGCGACGAACAATTATAGAAAAATGGTTTGATGCAAACTGCCAAATGAATTTAACAGAAGTAGTTTATTGAAAACAAATTCAGAATTCAAAATACATTGGCGACGAGGATAAAACCGTGGTTACGCAAATAAATTGTATTGGGAAAAAAAGGTAAGTGACGACTAGTGTGTTTAAAAAAATGTCATTTCAGTAATTGATGGACGAAAGTATTGTTTAAATTATTATGTCTTACCCTTCCAAAAAAGTATATAAAGCGTCGAATGACAATCACTATGTCAGTCGATGTGAGACCTTTGAGGTGGCAAGTCGTGTCGGTACGTGAACGAGCCAAATATAGCGCAGCGACTTCTACCTAGAAGAAGAAGAAGAAGAAGAAGAAGAAGAAGAAGAAGAAGAAGAAGAAGAAGAAGAAGAAGAAGAAGAAGAGGAAGAAGAGGAAGAAGAGGAAGAAGAGGAAGAAGAGGAAGAAGAGGAAGAAGAGGAAGAAGAGGAAGAAGAGGAAGAAGAAGAAGAAGAAGAAGAAGAAGAAGAAGAAGAAGAAGAACTTATCGCGAAGATTCGTTTGGCTAAGCCAAATAAAAGTTCATACTCTCTGCCTACCCCTATATGTAACAGGCGTGAAAATGTATATGTTTTTAACTTAATCGAATCGAAAGTTAAAGTTAAGATTTTCATCCTAAAAAAATTATCCCTTACTTCAGTGGTTTGATGCAAAGTGTCCAATGAATTTAACAGAAGTAGTTTATTCCAAATTGTACTACAAGTATATAGAGATAGAGTTCAATTTTGTCAAATGTTACGATATTTTTGCACACCTTGACTGCTTCGTTACTTATGACGCTGTGGCTGCTACGATATTTATGGGCACCTTGCATGTACTCATATATTTGACGCTGTGTATGTACCGATGTATTTAAGCAAGGTGAATGAATCTATTAATTTGAGGACTTTTGTTGTACCGATATAATTGATTACTTTTGGTGTACCTATATATTTGCATATCTTGTCTGTTACGATCTATATGACGCTGACTGTACATTAGATTATCAACTCGGTATTAACTGTTGATCTATTCTCTACATAATAAAAAACATTACGGTATTCAATATGTTGCGATAGAAACGAAAGTAACGGTTGTGTGTCGTACTTATTTATTGTAGTACTGTTAAGGAGGTAAAGCAACAATGAAGAATGAGTCTCGCAATACTGGCTAATGATACTGTCAAATTTCTTGATGATACCTGTTATATCGGTAAAAAATATTTTAATGTCTATTGTTAGCAATTTAAAAATGGAACGTTAACAATTTAAAAAGTGTTAATTACAACATAAGTAATGTTGATTAACCCACATAGATACCCGCCAAAAAATATTGGTTCTTTCCTAAGATTCCTAAGAAGCCAAAGAATAAAGCAAATATAAATAAATCTACTACTAAAGATTTAAAACAGTTCGACTCTATATCTGTGGTAAGATAAAACGCAGCATTAGCGTGAAGTAGTGAAATAATATACAATGTTGATTTGCAAATTTGTTATTAGAAGGACACATGAACAAAATAGTCGGAAAAACTAGAAATTTATATCTAGTCTCAATCAACTCAAAAAACTACTGCCTAAGTACTCAACGCGTAGTAGTAGTTATATTGTTCGCTATTCACTATGTTTATTAGGTGGAACTATGTCTCGTACCATAACTTCAAAAGGATTAGACCTTGTTTTTGTCTAATGAACAAAAGAGACTAAAACGTGATTTTAAGTAAATAAACATTTAAAGTACTTATTGTCTACGAACTTGTTATGCAATTGCACATTGTTATCAGTGTCCAAGTTATAAACCAAATTTAATAAATCAAATAATACCACTTGTAAATCTTGGATTCTGATTCGTCGGATCAAGAATTTTAAAACGAATCAACCAATTAGTATTAAGAAGTAGAATCTCTTTGAAACATAGAGAGAAAAACAAAATATTGTACGTTTTTGTACAATATTTTTACAGTAAAATGTTACGGTTTATGCTTGGATCGAATTACATTGATATGAATAACAAAATGGTGCTGCTTTATAGTTATGGGTTAAGCATATTTGGTACCAAAAAAGCGCGTTTATGAAATAATTAAAAAAGATGTCGGTGTCTTAATTACAACGTAAAGAAATTATCTTCTTTATATATCTATAGATGCCGTTTTATTAGGTATACAAAGTAATAAGAGGGCATGTGAGTAGGCTTCTTTAAGTCTTTACACAAACTGTGTAATCACTTAAAAGATATCAGTCACGTAGTCCCTATCCCACTCGTTAAAAACTAAATTTAACAAATACAGTCTTTATGGCCCAATTAAAACACGTTAAGGAGTAATTAAATACGTGAGAATTAAGTCAGTAGCCGAGTTATCATTTCCCTCTATTCAGTATGAGCGTGTGTTAGTATTTTTAATACTAAAGAATATTACGTGCAACTAAAAATGACGGAATGACGAATGTAGTTATTATATTTGATTAACGATTTACGTAGGTAGTTTTTGTTATACAGTTATAAATGTTACCGTGCGTTCACATTTTTATTTAACATGTCCCATAACACCTCAACTACATTGATAAAAGGGCGTCGCGTGATCTAGACTTGGCCTAAGGGTAGTTATATTTTTTTATTCCAAAGGAAATGCTTATCAACATGAGATCCATTTTTTTATGAAAAAATTAAAATTAGTTTTTATTTTTGAGTTATTTATCTAGATCCTAAATATAATTAATTAAACCTTAATCTAGTGCTTCAATCTAAAAGAGCTAGCCGCACCTCCCCTCCCCTAACCCTTCATGGCACCACCCATGTTTTGTTTTTTATAGCAAAAGGTTGCAAACCAGCCTCCAGTATGATCAGTAACATGTCATGAGATAAAATGGACACATAAACAAGAAAGTAATAAGATTGAATGTGGATGGCTAAGTAGAGAAAGAGCAATAAATGAATGTATGGATTATTTGAGAAATATGCATAAAAATGGAGTGATTTCCAATATGATGGCTGATAGTGTGGCTCTTTATGGAAAAAGAATAATGATGTTAAATCATTTCCCATGGGTTTCTGAGACCAAAATTTCCGTTTAAAACATTATATTACTTCTATTTTGTCAATGGTAATGAGAGGGGTGAATATAAGTTTTTTGTTGAGATTTTTGATTTAAGATTTTGGACTCAAAAAACCACGGTTATTTATACCATTGCAAATCCACGGTTTAAGATTTTAAAAATGATATTACGGATGAAAATGTATCAAACATGTCATGAATCAGACTTTGAAGTAAACTAATTACTTTACCTTGCTGTTCAATTATTGTGCATTTACTTCTTAGTCTTTTGGAATCATTTGTATCATCAGAATTGATTTTTTAGTACAAATCAGTTATCCTTACCGCTATCTTCTTCTAAAGTTATATTATGTTGGCTATGCATTACAAATTGATTTTTATCTAAAACTTTAAATCGGATTGATCTTTAATCAGGATGAATACTTTTTATCATAACGCTCCTTTGCTACAAAGCAATTTCAAATCAAGTGACAACAAAAAAAAATATTAAAGATGGTTTCAAATTAACAATTTTAAAATTGATGGTCATATTAATGAGGCAATGATTTTATAATTCATACATTTCTTGAGATCTAAAAGAAATTACAAAATACTTTTACCTCCAAAACCAATTCAAATTCAAACTCAAAACTCGAATTTGTTAGAAGTAGAAATCAATCCAAAACGTCAATGTCAAATTGTCAAAGAAAATTGCCAATGTATATTGTGTTGCTAGTTGTAAATTATCATGGAAATAATTCTCTTCAACATATATACATACGATTATTGGTAAATATATATGTTAACGTGGCGAATATTATATACCAGTTAAACAATTTAGTCAAAAACATTTTATTTATGTAAAGAAACTATCTATACACAATAAATAAATGTTGTATAGTGTTGTGCCACATCCGTCCTTCTCCACCTATGTGGGACGCATAGTCCTCTATCGAAACCATTTCGTAAGAAAGGAGACTAGAATTTAGCCCCCCGCCACTACATGGAACGCTAATTTGCTTCCACTTTACGCCTGTCTTCTGTGTGGTCATGGTATTGCACTGGGCAAGCCGATCAATTCATGCAACAGATGTTGTTGTACTGACGTCCACCACTGTTGTATAAAATAAAGTATCTTGCAAAATGTAGTAATTGGACTATTACAAATTTTGGGAAAAAAAATCTAAAAAAGTGTGATAGAGAAAAGACCTAGACCTAGACCTAATTCGAATATAAAAAGGAGTCTTGAAGAGGTCAATGATAACTGGTGTAAACATTAACGCTTTTCATCGATAAAGCTTACATCGATTCTCTGACGTTAAGCGTAATGAACGTCACTACTATGCAAATTCCACTCATCAGCAGTCGTACGTAAACATGTGGAGTGTTGTGTAGCTATATAAAGATGGTGTAAGATAACTTGCTCTTATTTTAAAAACATTACTTGAAATGTTATTAGTAAATAGTACTTAAAAAGGAACAAGTACTTAATCATTTTAAAAATGATACCTGGCTACGGCGCAGTGACTCAAGCCCTTTTAGGGACCCTCTTCACGTGGGGTCTTACAGCTGTAGGCGCCGGTTGTGTATTTTTTATCAGAGGAAAACATGTATGTATTGAATGTTTATCGTTCACATAAGTGTGCTTCGTAAACACGAACTCATAGTGGCGTTATATTACAGAGGAAGTTACTTGATGTATCTCTTGGATTTGCTGCGGGGGTTATGACTGCAGCATCGTATTGGTCTCTACTAGAGCCTGCTATAGAAATGTGTAAAACCTCTGGAACATATGGAGAAGAAGGGCAGTATGCATTTGTGCCAGTTGCGGCAGGATTTTTATTTGGAGCTGTTTTTGTGTTTGGAACTGATAAATTTTTGGATTACTTGGGCATCAATTCAACAAATATGATGATAAGTAAGTGGAATTTTTACTTAAATTTAAATGCTTTTAAAATCTATTGTAGTGTAATAATAGTGTAATCTAATTTGCATATAATAATTGAAGTCTAAAAAGTGATGTGAATTTTAATATTTATATCTTCATGTATCATATAATATCAGATTATTATTAATGTTTGCCTTGTTTGAATTTAATTTTTTAAAATTCTGGTACAAGTCATTAACTGACTAGAAATTCATGTCTTTTTTTATTTATCTAAGAGAAGTATTATAATTAAAATTTTCTATGTATATATTTTATATTAAAGTTTTAAATAGAGCATGTCAAGATATCCCTCTTTACATCGATAATTAATTTGAGTAATAAACAAGAATTACCAAAAATGTTGACTAAGTGGAGTACAATGACAAAATGTTCAATTTGCAAAATCTGTATTTAACCTTTGGAATACCACATTCTTAATGAATGCTTTGATGCATAAATTGCTTTTCATTACTTTATTACTTCGAATAAAAAAAAACCACACACACACGCACAAATTAATTAACAATTTTCAACACCTCAAATGCTATCAGCTTATATATCAGTTTACCTCAAATGCTATTACATTTTGACAAGCTTTTAGAGGTCGGCCTTTGGGATCAAACAATGACTCATGGTAATAGAGATTTCTTGTTTATCCAGGTTCAACTAATTACTGAAAAAAATGAGAGTGTGAATTATCTCATCTTTTGTTTTTAGTTTTTAGTGCTGTTTCTTCATATTATTGCTGTTTCTTTTGTGAAAAAGCTGATCTCAGTTTTACTCTTTTCAATTTAAAGTTAATAGTTGTCCAGCTTTATTTATTTTTAAGAATAAATGTTTAGTACAGTATTTTTAGTCTGTCTTTAAATAGGTATAAAGAAAAATAATATTAATTCAGAAACCAAAAAATTGATTAACATTTTAAGAATATCATCGACCATAGGAGCATAGTTTTTACTACTTTTAATTTATTACCTTAAAAAAAAATAAGTAGTTTTCCTTATTTTAAGATCATAATAGAATAACTATTTATACTGAATCATAAAAAAATAAAGTCTAATTATGTGTAAATGTTCTATTGTAATTCTGTATCATATTAAATTAAAATACTTTTTTAACAACTAACATGGAGCCTAGGCTTCAACTCATCTGGTTGTTTGCATGTTTCATCTCCTTCCCTTCCTTTTCTTATAAAGAAGTAATGGGAAAGGGAGCATAGGAAGAGGAAATATCCCTTTTCTTTGCGTCTCCTGTCAATATTATGTGTCCACATGCTAGTTTACCTTTTGCTAGTAAATAAAGGTTTTGTTTCATAATTACTTACCTCTTTTTTGCATAAAAGATCTTTAATATGCGATAGTCAAGGTTTTTAACATGCCTGCAGTTATATTATATTTTTATTTACTGGTTTTAACACTGAACAATACTTTTTTTTATAAAAATAGGTGTAAATTATAAACACTTTCAATGCCATTACTTTATTCATGTACTTAAGTAATTTGATGGTGTTAAATGTGTTAATTTACAATTTTATTACAGGTACAATAATATAATCAAAGTGTATTAATTTATTTACTATATTATTGAGTTACCTAACATTTTTTTCTACTTTTGTAAAAAATTTGGTTAAGAGTTTACTAGATGAATCAAGGAAAATATGCTGGGATATTATTTGTTTGTGGTTAAAGTAGTTAATGTTTATATTAACTACTTATTGGCAATAAAGTCCATATTGGAGAAACCCTAGTCTTTGACATTTTTGTGTACTTTGATTAAGACAGATTTTGTAATCAACTGATTAACAAAGCAATTTTGAATATTCCAAAAGCAAACTTGCTTACATAAACATATTCAAAATACCACGGTAGTTTTGCAACTTCAGTACTAAATTACTAAAGTGGCAAAATCCAAGGAAATCATTGTTTATAGAGCTTTAAATTTGTGAATACTTATTTAAAGTAATTTGCCATCGTCTCTTTATTAGGTCCCAAAGTAAATAATTTTTATTATCGTCTTTTAATGACTTAAATCTTAACATTGGAAGATTGTATCTTATCTAGAAGCTTACTACTGGCTTCTTGGCTATTACTTATATTACAGCACTATCTCTGTTGACAATGAATATAGTATTATATACAGAGGAATGTATTTATTTTAATGACACAGATACATTGTTGGGATAATCATATACAAGTATTTTCAATTTAACTGTTATATATGACTGGATCTAAACAAAACTCAATAAAAAATCTAAGTTATATTATGAATGTGAATGAATGGATGTTTGTTAGATGGTATCTCCAGTACGGGTAGGTTTTACAGATTTTACAGGCAGATTTTACAGGCTACTAATTATGTTTTTTAATCCCATGCGGACGGAGTCGCGGGCGACAGCTAGTAATACAAAACACTAGATGTATTTTTCGAGTGTCTTCATTTTAAACATCTTGTGTGTCTCAGCGTTAATTTACTAGAATTATAGATTAAATTTTGTATTACAGCTATAACAAAGAGCAAAGATTCAAAGGAGAAGCTGGAGGATTTGGAAATGATGACGGCACTGAACCAGCGGCCGTCGAATCCGACGAGTGTGGTGACGCTGGAGCAGCCGGCGGAGTTTGCCGACTGTATCAGCAATCAGCACACCGCGCAGCGCAGGCGGCCACACCACCACTCTCATCTCTCATTGGTATGTTGCTATATTTCCTAGTTTTACAGTTAAATCTCACTATTCGCGGGTTTTATGTTAGATAATGTACCTTGATTGCGGAGACTGCGTATATAGGATAGTAATTGATATGAAACTGTGGGGTTAAATTCCAAGTTTTTAAAAGAGAATTAATTTATGGTAGTAAATATACTCAGAGTTTTTTTGAACAATAATATATAAGGTCTTAGGTACTCAATGTTCTTCAGGCTTTGTTGTGCTAAATAAATAGCAAATAACAAAAGGCTACAATTAATAGACACAGCTGCAATATTTATAAATTGGCAATAGGTATGTTTTTAATTCATTCGTTCAATCTTGCGCTTTTGTAAAAGTCGCTTAAACGCGTGCAAGAAAATATTTCTACTATAACGAATGCCGAAGCGATGATAAAAGACACTCAAATTTAAAATATATTCTGTGGGAAACCATGAATGTTTTGTCGTGAATACAGGAATTAGTCATTTTTTTAACCGGACGGCGAATAAAAAGACTTTACTGTATAAAGATATCATACTGAATGTAGCCTGTGTACATATACGTAAGTTTTAATTTATAATGTGCACGATCCCGTAACCTATCAATCATTTGTATCAAATCAAAAAATAATATTATCGCAGTCTGTACTTTTTAACACGTCGAGGTCTTTGACGCGAACATTCTTATTTGAAGAGCATAATGTTTTTTAAAGTGAAACTATTTTAAATTAAGTCCTTTAACATAACCTTTGTTCTAAACATTCTGCAAACGACTAATACTCGAGTTGTCATTTAATATGGAGCCATTCTATCAAACGTTACTAATAAAGTCCTTCTATTTGTATGAGTACCAAATAAAAACTACAAAACAAAACATAAATCAAGTATTGCATGCGTTGCAAGATTTACAATACACGGGGAGAAAATGTCGAAGCTAAAGAATGTATAAAACATTTAGCTGTAAATTTACTGTAGGTATTAAATATATGCACGTCCAACACGCGTACTTCAATAAGAAAACATTCGACTTAAGATCCGTTATTCAAATTCACGCAATTTTATATTTCTTCGTAATAATGTTTTATCGATCAAATCGTACTGTTTTCAACTTGCAATAATAAAAAATCATTCGTACCTGTAATATAATTCAGTCAATCTTACTATCATACTTCTTACTAATATTATAAATGCGAAAGATTAGATGGATGGATGTTTGTTTGAAAGTATCACAGGAACGGCTCCTCGGATTTTGATGAAATTTGGCATACGTATAGAACATAGCCTGAACGAACACATAGGCTACTAATTATTTTTTTTTAATTCCGTGTGGACGGAGTCGCGGTCGACAGCTATTAGCTCTATAAATTTTTACTATTTACCAGTTAGCCGATCAGATTACTAGGAAAATATTTAGGAATGTTGAGCCGACCTGCTTTACATATTATGTCAGTTTTTCTGTGTTTTTATAGAGCCGGAGACTATTCGATGAATTTTGATGTGGGGCTCACTGTGACATCATACTTCCAACATGTGTAAATATGTGCATTCACGCACGTTGATTTTAAATAAATAAAAAAACATCCTTTATGATATAGTCGTATTAAAATATTTTCTTAAAAATATTAAGTATTGCATACTTATATGCTGATATATAAAGGTGTGCAGTTTATGTTCAGTCCATTTTCCTATTTTAAAGTAGGTACTTTTTGTGTTATTAAATGTCAAGGCCTTAATAAATTGCTGCAGGGAACGAAAAAAAATGTAGGTAAAGGATGCTTTCTACCATATTATTTTTTAATTAGACTTTAGTAGCAGTTCCTTTTTTAAAATAATGCCACATTTTGATATTCGTCTTGGATAATTAAAAAAAAACTCTAAATGTCAAATGTATTTTAACACATCCATAATACCGACGACGTTTTAATACTTGTTATTAAGTTTTGTTTTTAAAAAACATATATTTTAATCGTCAATGTCTAATTTAAGTAATGCATAACGGCCATTGTTAACGCCGATTAGCAATAACAATACATTTTGCCACGTGTACGCGTGCCTAAAGGATTTACAAGTAATTTCTTAACCGCGTGTTCTTTATTTTTATGCTCTACCTAATTTGGACAGGTTCGATATTTTTTTTCCTTACGGAAACATTTATATTGTAGGTAAGTTCCCTTTTCATGGCCAATCTCAGTCAAAACTTTTTTTCCTTATAGAAAGGAATTATGTACGACAGTAATCTGTAATTTCTTTCCCATATGTTACAATGCACGTAGTTCGAAAAGTATTCGAGGAATTTTTCCTTACAAAAACATTTACAAGATAAAGATTCCCTTTCCATGGTCAAATACATTTAATCCATTTTTATTTAGAAATAAATCGTCGAAAAATCTTACTTTTTATTATATTATCTTACTAATATTATAAATGAAAAAGTTTAGATTGATGGAAGGATGGATGTATGTTTGAAGGTATCTCCAGAACAGCTTAGAGAGAGAACATTTTGGCGAAATTTGGCATAAAGGTAGAACATAATACGGAACACTTAATCCACTAAAAGTTCTTTTTCTCATCTACGTAGACGGAGTCCCGGACAAAATGTAGTATTTCAATAAACAAAGACTTAAATAGTGAATTGAAATTGCTATCTCGACATGTTCCATTGGCATTGGAACGTAGTCGGATGACAGATGTCCAATGCAGTGAGACATGTACCTACTACACTTTACTACAATCGTATTTGGTTTATATTTACTGACACTTTTGATATAAACTTTATCTTATAACATTTTATTAGTCGATAACAGAATGACGGCGAATATGCTCGTGTGTCATTAATTTTTATTTGTTCTATATAATTCAACACTAACACTGAATATGTCAAGCATTATAAAATGTTAACTGTAAAAATAAAGCAATAAAGTACAAAATATTATGATACAGTTTAGGGCCTGCTATTAGACGAGCAATTAATATTTAACCTTCGTTTTAGCAAATCATTTCTAAGAAACCACAAATGTAATGTACTATCAATATTATTTGGCACATAGCCTAAAAAGTTTACTTTACCCTTTAAAAGTAAGCATTAATTTTTACTATTAGCTTACTCATCGACTTTATTTATATACGGGTTAATACATATAAGCATTCTGAAAAAGTATACCATTATGCAACAGTGTATTTAATAACCTTCAAAATTCCTATGTTCCCCTTCGAAATTCCTATTGCCTGCATAACTACGTATTTTGCCTTATTAACTGCAAGGAAGCGACAAAAGAGCCTCTGAGCTTAGCGCCCAATCAGCTATAGAGGCGTTCGATAACTTTTAATGAGATGTTTAAAAATTATTTAAATTCTTTTCATACATTAAGGCCCAAACTTATTTTCAATCGCCATTGATTCGTACCTATCGGAGGTCCGTCATTGTAGTAAATTACCGCAATCGCGTAATTTGACATTATTATTCGGTTAATTTCGTTTTCATGTGACCTTCATCTAAACGGATTCAAATTTATTTTTACGCTATAATATTTAGGGTTGTATTGTTTTCTTTTTCTTACGAATAATTCAGAGTATATATGGTGTACTTCCAGAAAGGAGGCGAGGGTGACGTGGACGAGCGGCGCGACAGCGTGGCGCGCGCGCTGGAGGCGAGGCAGTCCCAGTGGAAGCGTATTATGCTGCTGGTGGTGGCCATCACCGTGCACAACATCCCCGAGGGTCTCGCTGTGGGAGTGTCCTTCGGTGCTGCCGCATCCTCCGCTGAAGCATCATTCTACAGCGCGAGGTAAGTTGATACCATACGTTGATGTCTTTGCTTCTAAAACACTGAGATAATATTTTTTAGTTTAGATGTTTTGTTCTTATGTCTTTGTTTTAGTTATTATATCTTTAGTATAATCAATACAATTAATAACATTAGAATGTCTGTATGCAATATTATGAAAATTCAGATTTCGCGAACAGTATTTGCGTTATGTCTTGCAATTTCGTGTTTGTTGTTGGTTATCTCCAATACGGCTGACCCGATTTTGACGGGGCTCTAACTTGAAGGTAGCTGATAAGTGCCCGCACTCACTCTCAAATAGCCTAATTAGCATAAAAGTCAAATATCCTAATTTACCAAGGGGTATATATATATATTTTGAATTCAGCGCTGACGAAGTCTCGGGCAACCACTAGTTCGATATATGTTGGCTTTATTTTCTAAGTAAATTTCAATGCACTTCATTACCATCATGCAACAGTCTCACAATATCCGTTTTTTTAAAACAATAATTCGACTTAGGTATGATGTTGGTCCTCTAAGTTACTCTATGCGACCTTCATTCTTATCAGTTACCTCAAAATCCAGTTAATCGAGTCTTCAAGGCAATTATATTTTTTGTCGTAGGTATTTATATAATCTTATATAATAAAATAAAGTAGATCAAATAATAAACATCGTATTCTATTGTATGAGTGAGGTCAAGATTGTTAAGACTTAAATCACGGGCGTAGACAAAAAATCATGAATATTGCAACAACGTTTTTGCCTCGCTTGCAGTAAGGTCGCTAGCGAATCGGCGCAGTCTCCCGGACTGAGCTAAGTTTTTCTCATAAATAAATCTTTGTTTTGTGTACACATGATGAATTGTGTATCTGCATCTTTTTATTTTATAACAAGTTCTTCGTCTGTTAATTTACTTAATAAAATCTAAACTGTATTGTTTTTAAATCACTGGATATTTTGATGAATCGTTGGTAAGATGTACGCACGGTATTTCTTTTAATTAAGAAGTTAATTTAGAGATTTGGTAATACATTGTCGTAAATATTTTAACTATCTTTTACCAAGAACTTCATTTGTGCGGAATTAAAATTAAACACTTACTTTGGATTTCTGAGACCAAAACCTCTGTGTAAAAAATATCTTATTCGATTTTGGACTCGAAAACCCACGGTTAATAATTTATAAAGACTAAAAATTTAAAGCTCATAATGGTTGTCACCGTATAATTTCACTTACAATATTCGATCCTAAGAAGATAGCGAGTTTATTTATACGTGTGTGTAAAACATAACGTAATTTGAATACTCCTCGGAAGAATAGAGCGTGCTTCCTTGAAGACCGCTGATGGATGTTCATGGCCGACAATCACTTTAAAAAAAAACAATATGTTGCGCTTATTATCTCATAATTATCTGTTAATGACTATCTTGTTTTAATACAAAATCCGCCGTAAACGTTAATTACTAAATAAAATTAATATTTTTAATTATTCCATTTAAATTATTAAAGGTTTTATCGCGTTTAACTTTTTGTTTCTATAAATATGTTTGGTGTGATTCTAGTCAAGTAAAAATTCTATACGCCTACATGATATATGTTAATTTAGTTAATTAGGATCTTTAAATATTTATAATATGAATTCATATTAATCATTGAGGCGCCTGGAAAATTAATTTGGTCGGTTTACACCCAAGTTTGACATTTTTGTCAAATGCGTTATTATTACATGAAATATTTTTACCATAGCACATTTGTAAAACTTTTTAATTTTAAGTATTTAAAAAAAAGTCAAAGGAAGCATAATATTTTTATATCATTAGGTGGCAAACGAGCGAGCGGCCACCTGAAATCGCTGAAATAGCGAAGTGACCGTTGCCCATAGACATACGCAATTGCGTAAGCGTTGCCTACCTTTAATCGACGGAGGAGAGGATGCAAAGAAAGAACGCATTTTCCCTTTAAATGCATCCTCTCATCCGGAAAGTCCCCTTCCATTTCCCATCCTTTCCTTATAAGAAAAAGGGTGGGAAGGGAAGGAGGACTAAATTAGGCCTCGGGCACTCACACGCATCAGACGAAACGCGGAATTACTTCCACTTTCCGCCTGTCTTCTGTGTGGTCGTGGTATTTCACCGGGCGAGCCAGGGCAATTCGAAGATGTTAAAGCGGGCTCTACCACTGTTAAATATTTGGACCTCATAGGTTTCTTTAGATTATTCACTGACGATGTTTAGAATTTTATTGCACAGACCTGACGTCTGTGCTTATACAATGTTCTAATGTAAGTTCTCTGTCTGTCTGTCATTTTAAGTCATGTGACGCAATATTACTAAATAATTTGTAAAATATAAATAATAGATTGCTGTTTAAAAAAATGTTCAAGTCGCCACCTACCGGCTTACATTAAACGTAATATTGAAATTATAAAATTAGCGACATCTAACGAGGATTTACGGAATTAGAAATATATTGTTATGATTCAACATTGAATAGAGGCAGAAGATGGCGCCACTGTTAATATTTTGAACTTGTGGTTTAGTTCGTATATTTTATCTATTAACCTACTTTTGCAGAATATTTGTTGTTTTAATATAACGATGGAACTGTGTTATGAATTTATTATTAAAAAAATATGTTAATAATGTTTTGCACCTGCTGACACTTGTATATATTCGAAGAAAATGATAAATCTTTAATGAAAAAGAAAAACACCATGGTAATTAAATACTTATCAAATTAGTTAATGTTTACGAAGATTTAAATAAGCAATAAATAAATTGTGATGATACTATAAATGTATTTGCGTACAGATTACATATGTGTTAGTAAATTTTTAAAATTGCAATCATTACCTAGTGATTGTATATAAGAAATGAAGTAGTTATATAACAGTTTGTTAATAATCTTACAAAAGTTTTAGCGTGTACAGATGGCTGATTGTTTGTTACAAGGTATCTCCGGAACGGCTCATCGATCTCGCTGAAATTTCACTAAGATGTTAAACATAACCAGCAAGAATACATAGGCTATATTATTTTGTTTTGTTAATTCCAGTCAGAAGGAGTTACAAGCGACAGCTTAGCAGTAATATATAATAACGATATATAACATTATTAAGATATGTTGTATAGCGTTTACATAAAATGCAACGTCGCGATTAGTAGCCATTAACTGACGCACTAATTGATTAGCAGTCACTAATTAAATCTATTAATTAACGTTCATTTACGTAAACAAGGGATACAAAAATATTGTGACTTCGCACAAGATGGCTTGCTTGAAAGAATATCTTACTAATATTGTAAATGTGAATGTTTGGATGGATGTTTGATAGAAGATATCTCCAGAACAGGTGCATAGATTTCGCTGAAGTTCGGCATAAATATAGAATATAACCTGGAAGAACACATAGGCGATAGCTAGTTTTATGTATTTTATCAGGATATTATAAACAGTGGTGATGTCTGGTATATTCAGGTTTGGCAAAGGTGAGCAATAACGCCTACCTCGTCTGCGGCGACGCCAACTCCGACCGACTAACCATACATTACGCATATAGCGCTCAAGATTTCCGATTATCTTGATTTTATTGATATACACTTTTTCACGCATTCCTCGCAGTTTAATAATCTTTATTTATCTAACTGTAAAGAGAGACTTCATCGTGAAAAAAATTAAATATGTATGTTATTTAATGTATGAATAGTGTTTTCTATAAACATTCGTATGCCCTTTTGTAAAACGGACGATGGATTGAATTTTATGCTATTTATAATTCAATCTACATATTCATTTACCTACGTGATTAGAAAGGAGTTTATGGCTAACTAAAGATGGCAGATTGGTTTGTTATAAAGTAGACGAAAGTAAAATAGCTGGTCTATTCATACCATAACGAATAGGAGGAATAAAGGAACTCTCCGCCTTTTGTAAGTGTAGATCGATGTCTTGTGGGCTACGTGAATGCTGGGTAGAAGGTGGGCACGCGGTAGTGGGTTGCATGTACCCAACATGGGTAGTGGCGGCGAGTGTCGGCGGCCAAATCGCGTGGCGGCGGCAGCGGGGGCATCGACCCGCGCTTCGCAGACGTTGCCGTCACCGCTCAGTGAAACTATTTCACTGAAAAATCCGCCAGCGCGCCGTATCATTGAACGTCAACCTTGACGATTTGTCGCGTCGTCTGTACCGACAGTGGCGCGTGGGTGCCCCCTACAACCTATACATAACTGTAAAATATCGTTACCTTACAATAATGCGCAATAAATGTGTCTAGACGTACCTCTGTCTGCTAACAGCCCACTCCAATAGACGATATGCGCGACACAATATAATATCGGGCAAAAATAGCCACTTCTTGCCACTGGATCTCCAAGTATTGTAATCTATAATAGAGTAGCTGGATCAAAAATATTTTTATACTATGCAAATACCAGACATTACAACATTGCTAGAAACTGAAACTTTGAGATAAACCCTAGTGTGCAATGAACGAGTGATTTCATGTTATTCATATCAGTTCCGGGATCCTATTCGGAATCTAGAGACGTATCATTCGGTTATTTCGATTTTTCATCTATATTCCGAAGAATTTTTCCGCAAAATATGTCATATACATACATTTACATATGACAGACATAGCCTGAGTTCATATCCGCAAATTTTGCGTATAAATAATCACTTTTTGGTAATAAACATAACTAATTAGCATTCATCGATCAGTAACGATAAATTGTATTTAATGTAATCGTTTTTAAATATTCGTTTAACACGACCGATGTTCGTCTGTATCCGATTAATGGAAATAGTGCGAAAATCTTCTCATAATGACGAGCGATAATATCTGCATTGGATAACGGCGATTGGACTGGTAAAAAATTACCTTACGAGCGACTGGGCGTGGCCGGATAATAAATGAGCCATAAATCTTACTTATACAAAGACGACCAGCGTGTTTGATTTACCTAAATATTAATAACTACATAATATCATACGCGACTGCAAGGTAGACCTATCTA